AGACACTGACTGCCCCTGAGAAATAAAGCTGTTAATCCTTCAGAGATGTTTTTGGAAGATCAGACTTTTAACTCTACTTTGCTTATAACATGTTGCAAAAGATAATATACCATATTGCTTGGCATATATCTGCTACCATTGCTCTCAGAAGAAAATAGTTGTGCATTTAACTCTTCTAGTTCCTACAAATTTACCTGCATTATATTTCAATTCATCTGAATAATGGGAGAAACAGTCAATGATACAGGTCAAGGGTTCTTTTCATATCAGACTTCCAAATGGCCAGTGATTCAAACAGAGGGACATTTTTAGATAATCGCATGATCCATGCCTCATAAATTGTGACAATTGTTTTTAATATCTACAGAGCAGTGACAGATTCTAGATATGGGTGTTATTTTTTGTTCTGAGGCACTGCATTGGCAACTGCCTCTTTCAACGTTTCTAATTAGAGTCACATTTACAGCAAGATACAAGAATAGCCAAGATTAATAACTAGCAATAAAAAGCTGTTACAGTCTATCAGGGGAATATTAATGGAGTGACTCCAAGTAAGGCATTGTTTAAAGGGGGGAATCCTACTATAAATAAAAAGCAGCATTCCCTTGTGTAGGGGATAATAAATAATTGCTTAAGTATCTGAGGAAAAATAAAAAACTGGTGGGGTGGTCAAGCCAGTCCCTTACCTGATATGCAGCGGTAGCATCAGAACTGGTGTCCGAGCCCAGGCTAGTTAACTTCTCCTTTAGTTTGTGATGAGAACCATGGCGAAGGCAGTAGATGACCCCAGAAGCCACAAGGACCCCAAAAATGCAAGCAATGGAGAGGAGTGTTAATATGATGAACTTGGTGGGGTCTTCCTCTTCCTGGGCACGATGGGGCAAAAGTTGGAGCTTCTTTTTCTATTTAAAAAAAAAAAATAGAGAAGGAGGCAAGGGTGAATGATTAGATCTCTTTTAAAATTATTTGCACTTCTGAACTTAAAAGCATTCTCCCCCAGAGAGCAGCCAAAGCCTAAACACCACCACTTGATTTTTCCCCTCCAGCAATACTAGGAGGAAACACAATCACACCACAACATTTAAAACTAGCTTCCCACTTAAACTGTGGCTATAACACATTTATTAAACATCCTAAAGGCACCAGATTTAGTCTGATGTTGGAAGTGAAGCAGGGTCAGCCCTGGTTAGTACTTGGATGGGAGACTGCCAATGCTATTTTTCAGAGGAAGGAACTGGCAAAACCACCTCTGGGTATTCTTTGCCTAAGAAAACCCTATAAAATCCAAGGGGTTACCATAAGTCGACAAGTGAAGGCGCACACAGACATAGACATAACCAACCCTGTCAACGCATTGAGTTTTACTTTTGGGTAGACACGTACAGGAGTCTATTTGTTGCTGCTTTTTAATCTATATCACAAGAGATATTTTGGGATGTGTTGTGATAGGATTTCAACATGGAATCCATTCTCAAAGACGTTTACTGAGAAATATGCCCTACTTATTTTCAATGGCCTTCCCATTCTACTTAAAACAGTCCGGATTTCATAGGCAACTCAGTTTTATACATGCTTACTCAGAAATAATTACCATGGAGTTAATGAGACAGTTCTTCCAAATCCTATAGAAAGGGTTGTAGCCTTAAAATAAACTGAAGCAACCAACAGGCACACAATGCACAAATTTTAAAAGGAATGCCAGAGATTTCACCCACTACACATTTTAAAGTTTTAAAAAAGACAAATCCTTAGGAACACATACCCTGCCTCATTGTTCACCAAGTTTTTAACAATTTAAACCATTTTTAAAAGGAATGTCAGAGATTTCACCCACTTCCCACTTTAAGGTTTAAAACTGACAAATCCTTAGGAACGCATATCTTGCCTTATTGTTTCCAATTTTAACAAATGTTAACCATTTTTTAAAAGGAATGCCAGAGATTCCAGCTACTTCCCATTTTAAGGTTTAAAAAAGACAAATCCTTAGAAGCACATACCTTGCCTCATTTTTCACTAAAGAGATAAGGAACTATTTACACTGTTGAAATTATTATGGCAAAAATATATATTCCAATATATATATATATATATATATATATATATATATATATATATATATTCCTGAGATGTTACAGCTAGTTGTTCTTCATGTTCCTTTTCTAGTATAAACAGAGTATCTTCTCCCTGAATAAATCATCCTGAGTATCTTTTTTTTTCAACAGGTTTCTGAAAAATCACTCTTCTCCATTAGGATTTCATTTGATTTTCCTTCTGAAGGTTGCAAGGAAAGAATCCACCTCTTCCTCCCAAATCGCTGGGAATCAAACGTTAAGTCCAGTCCTTCTCTCATCAGAGGAGGAAGAAAGTGGGAAATGGAAACGTGTTTTTTTCTTCTCTTTCTCCTCCTCTTCCAGGATTGCTTTTTTAAAAAATCATGAAAGTGTGCGTAAAGGCGCGCCTGTGACCAAAAAGGAGTGAAGGCAATCCTGGCGCTGCCTTTGCTTTTGCCTCCATGCGCTCCAAAGTTGTCCAATAATTTCCCCTCATTAGCTTCATTATAAGCCATATTAGCAACAATTAAAATCGCAACATGGCTACGGGAAAGAGAGAAAGGACGGGGGGGGGGGGAAGGAAGCACACCCGCCCAAGATGGGAGGCTCTCGCTCCTTTGGCTTCACAATTAGCAGAGAGATGAATGAAGGGATGAATGAAGGGATGAATGAATGGGACATTCGCACGCCTCGCTCTCTGCCTGGGCTCCCAGAGAAGCCAGGAGGACAAGGATTTTAGCCAAGGCCTCGCTCTCTCGCTCTCTCTGTTTCCAAAGCCTTCTTTCGGGGGGGGGGG